GCGCATCGCGGGCGAGGCGTCGCGCCTGGCGCACTACAACAAGCGCTCGACCATCACGTCCCGGGAGATCCAGACGGCCGTGCGCCTGCTGCTGCCCGGGGAGCTGGCCAAGCACGCCGTGTCCGAGGGCACCAAGGCCGTCACCAAGTACACCAGCTCCAAGTGAGCGCGCGGATCTCACCGCAACCCAAAGGCTCTTTTCAGAGCCACCCAACAGTTCACAATAGAGAGCTGTGCACTTCCTGTGGCAGCAGCCAGCCCTCTTTACGCGAATCTCCCGTTTTTTCATGCGACAGTGTTATATTAGTGTCCCCCACTTCCTGCTATCAGCGCAGGCTCCTGGAGTCTTAGGCACTCTTTGTGTTGCAACTAGAGAAGAGACCGGATCAATGGCCCCCGAACGATCCCTTTTCAGCATCTCATGCTAGGTAAACGTGAGGTTTAACCCTGGTGGCTGCCGAAGGTGGAACGCCAGGAACGGGTCTCGGAGCGACCTGACCCGGACGTATTTCCGGGCTTTTGTTTTCACTATTCCTGGGAAATTCACACTGGCACGGGAAGGCGGAGTGAAACCGTGGGTTTACCACCCGGGTTAGTTAAACTACATAATTTCATTTTTTTCTTACCAGTGTCCTAATTTCGTTCAAAACGCAAGCTTGTTAATTCGGTGCCTGTTAACCGGTTCTTGGTGACGCTCGGGTCGCCATTTTATGCGGCGCCGCCACCGCCCTGTGTAGACAGCTCGGCTCGGCTGGGCTGGGCTCGGCTCGGCTCGGCTCGCTGAAAGCGAAAGTCGGCCAGACGCGCCAGCTCCCGCATCTAAGTCCTTAGGCGTCCTCACCTCCCCTGGAGCTTTTGAATTTGAAAGACTTTTACATATGAATTGGGTTGTGGGAGAAGCAGCAAGACACCCATTTAAAGAAAAAACAAAACCTCGTTTGTTTACTTTTTCAATTACCGGAAATGGTGAAAGGGGTTTGTTTATAAAGCTAAAAGGGAAAAATTAGGCAAGCCTAGAAATATTTAATTTCTTTGTTCCTTTTCCTAAACTGCTGGGTTTTTAAAAAAAAAAAAAAAAAAAAAAACATCGAGAAAATTCCCAATCCCCTCTCTCGACTTGTTTTGTAAATGTGACCTAACATTCGGCCACATCACTTTATTTACAGTTAAAGCTACAGAATGTTGGGTTTGATTCTGTGGCCAGGCTCTGGAGTCTACAGCTTCAGAGTTCAGCAACTTTGGAGCTATGCGTCCCAGCAGGGAAGGACCCTGACCTAATGTGAGGGGGAAAAAAATATGAAGTAGGATAGATAACGGGTGGAACTAAGTCCCTGTTCCAGTGAGCTCCAGTCCTGCCCCCAGGCTCTTCCAGGCATCCTTCCTGGGGCTGGTTAAGTATCCCACCTCCCCAGGCCTCTCTTTAAAAGAAGTAAATACAAAGAAACTATCCATTTTAAAGTAACAAAATTGCAGCTGCAATCCAGGAGACTTGCTCCGTGTGTAAAGTTATTTGCTACCAAGCCTGAAGACACGAGTTGTCTCCACTAGACCCACAAAGAATCCCTAAAAAATGCCCTCCATCCTACACAGATATTCCATGGCAAGTAGGGCACACACACACACACACACACATTTTTTCACTGTTTTTAAAAATTGCAAGTTAGCTTTATTCATTGTTACTTTAGAAATAACTGGAACTTCCTGGTGAATTATTTACATGTCAGAGTTCAAATGTTCAAGGTAATAATTTTGTTTGTTCGACTTTCTTTTCTTTGTGACCACGTCTCTGTCTTGTAGCCCTGGCTACCCGGGAACTCAACTATGAAGCCCAAACCAATCTCCAACTCTCAGCAATCCCCCTGCTTCACCTTCTAATTATAGGTGGAGGCCACCACACCCTTTAGTGTTGTTTTGTTCCTGTTTGTTTTGGTATTTTGAGACAGAGTCTGGAACTCAGAAGACCAAGCTGACCTCACATTTCCACCTGCCTCTTCCTGCTGACCACTGTGATTAAAGGTGTGTACCTCCATACCCATTGTCTGGTTCGTTTTTAAAGCATTCCACATTGAGCCTGCTCAGAGCTTTTCATCCACTGATCTTAAAAGCAGAATGGCAGTGCAGTGGTGCTCTACAAAGTACACCTTATCTAGCACCCATGAAATACAACCTCGGAAGATTCTTCTCGGGATTTGGTTTTTGGGGTTTTTGTTTGTTTGTTTTCTTTTCCCACTCTTTGAAATCTCCATGACTCCCTCCAGTCTCTGTTCTTTGCAGATTTTCTCTAGGCCTGGCTGGGTTATATAGCAAGATTCTACTATAAAATAAATAAGAAAAACAAAAACAAAAACCACCTTGACTCCAGAGCAGTGAGCATCGCCTGTTGGGCTTATTGATGATTCCAATACCCAAGATTCTGTAATCTGCAAGGTCGAGGCCTTTTTTAAAATAAGTTCCCGAAGGGAAGGGTTGGCAGGACAGCTAAATCTAGTGACCTGTGACCCTGATTATCTGAGTTTGATCCCTGGAACTCCAGTAAAGGTGAATAATACACACACAAATAAAAAGTAATATTTTTTTAAATTCTTAGGGTACACTGATGTTCCTTCTCTGGTGGTATTTTGGAAACATCTGATATTCAGATCAAAGTTAATAAAGCCCTGGACCATGTGGAATTTTCCTTAAGGGGAAGATTTATATGTCAAACTATGATGTTTATATTACAGATTAAGAAGTTATAGAAAGCTCCTAAGCAGGAAACTAACAAGTTTGAGTTCTTTGGGTTTCCAAGACTGGACTGATGAGAGGGTTTGTTTTAATTCGGTTTCATTTGGTTTAGTTTGGTTTCATTTGGTTTGGTATGGTGTGGTTTGGTTTTGAGACAGGATAGCATGGGCCTTGAACAGAGAATGGCCTTGAACTTTGACCCCTAGTCTCTGCCTTCTGAGTGCTGAGATTAAAGGATAAACCACCCGGTGGGTCTGCTTTTATGCAGTACTGGAGTTAGAATCCTGGGCCTGGCTGAGCAAACACTATGCCTTGAGCTGCATCCCCAGCACCGCTCCCCATGCCTTCATGCCCTCCAGAAACTGCTATTGATAAAATACTCATACACATAAAATCGTTTATACACGCACACACGTATTATATAGGTATATATTTTGAGTTACAATAAAGGCCCATTATGGGGTGTGTGGTGGTATGAGGGTATTCCTTGTCAAGAGAATAGAATCTCTGGCCCAGTTGAAAATCTAACATTCCTGGGACCACCCCTAGGTAGTTTAACCATAAGCCATGCTAGAGATATATGGACTATTTTTCCTTTAATGAGATACTGTACTTTTCATTCCCAAACTTCACTCCCTAGCATAATTCCTTCAAGCTGAGCAGCGATAAAGCTTTACTGGATCTACCCACTTCCTGAAACTACAATTTTTCTTCTTTTTCTGTCTCTTTCATCTGCTGACCAGCACCTAAGTACACTTTTTCTGCAACTTTGAACCTCTAAGTCCAGCACATGCATGCCTGGTGCCTGCTCTGAAGTCAGATTCCCTGGAACTGGAGTTACAGTTGAAAGCCACCACGTGGGTGCTGGCAACCAAATCCTAGAATCCTCTGAGCGACTCTAGAGCCACTTTCCCAGCCAGCGCTGCTTTTTCTAATTCTAACAAAAGTAATTGTCCTTAAAAAAAAATCCTAGCACAGAAAAACCGTGCTAAAGAAATGGAAAATTCAGGCACGCTTTCTCACACCAGCCCAGCACTTGAGAACCTGAGTTCTGGCCCAATTAGGAGCCAGGCTAGGCTAGACAGATTGTATCAGAAACATTATAAAACCTACGTGGTGTTACAATAAAGAGAACAGATTGTTTTGCGCTTAGACTTGAAGCATTTTCTACAATTACAATGGACTCAAGTATGTTTAAAAGTGAAAATCTCAGGGCACTACATTCATCTACATGAAATCAGCCTAGGAAAAATGCCGGCGTTGGTCACATGCGAAAGTGCTCCGTGGGTGAGGCAGGGTGATCTAGAAACCAGCCTGGCATACAGACCGTATCAGTTAAGCATGCTGAAAACAAGACGTTTCTAAACTCACGGGAAAATGGCACCGTCAACCTCAAAGCAATTAACCGAAAGGACACGATTCCATAAACCCCTAAATAAGTATATTAATTAAATAGCCCCGCTCAAATGCCGACTCACAGTACGATGAAAGGTATTTCAACCCTTTTAAGTGAAAAGGTGGGTGGCCCTGAAAAGGGCCTTTGGGGGAAAAGACAGGGACAAAGTTTAGCCGCCGAAGCCGTAGAGCGTGCGTCCCTGGCGCTTGAGCGCGTAGACCACGTCCATGGCCGTGACGGTCTTGCGCTTGGCGTGCTCCGTGTAGGTGACGGCGTCGCGGATCACGTTCTCCAGGAAGACCTTCAGCACCCCGCGGGTCTCCTCGTAGATGAGGCCGGAGATGCGCTTGACGCCGCCGCGCCGGGCCAGGCGGCGGATGGCGGGCTTGGTGATGCCCTGGATGTTGTCGCGCAGGACTTTGCGGTGGCGCTTGGCGCCACCCTTGCCCAGACCCTTCCCGCCTTTGCCGCGACCAGACATGCTGCAAAACTAGCTGAAAGCTTGGTCCACAGTGACGGCAACAGGCCCGCTTCCTGGCTTTTATAATACCATGGCGGACCTGTTTGAAAACCTGAAGGGCAGGGGCGGAAACCGCACTCAATTCCCGCCCTTCTCTGCGTTTGTCCTATGAAAGGCTGCGGCAGACAAGGCGGGGCCTGAGACGCTAACAAAGCCAGGAGTTAAAATGTAACACATTGTATTACGTGTGTCTCTACAGTTCTTTCAGCCTTCTATAGCGGCAATGTATGTTACCAACAAATAGGTTTGGCGTTTGTTGCTCATTTCACTAAATAGGAATACATTATCATTTCACCACGTCACCGTGCTTCTCAACCTTTTGTTTGTTTGTTTGTCTTTTGAGACAGGGTTTCTCTGTGTAGCTTTGCGCCTTTCCTGGATCTCACTCTGTAGACCACGCTGGCCTGGAGCTTCTAAACTCTGAGTCGGGAAGAAGCAACAAAAGAACTTCATGGTGGGGGAGGCAGGTCCACCACAACATGGGGAACTATTATTAAAAGGTCTCAGCATTAGGGAGGTTGAGAACCACTGCGTCTAAGCGGTTTTATGTACAGTTTTAAGAACACGTGTATCAGGTTCTAAGACTGTTTCTACGGAACAGTTTCTACGGGGAACGCAGGCTGATCCGGGAAAGTAAAAACTCAGGTGGTTACATGACCTGAGGTCTAAAAGATTAAAAGATGTACTGGATATTCATCCCACAGGTGTGAATCTTCTGCTTGACTTACACATAGAAATCAAGGGATCTGGGAATGAGGATCGTGGGGGCTTCTCTCTTTATTTCCTGCATGTATGGTTTTCCAGGAAACATCACATGCTTGTTGGAATGAAAATCATGTTCCTGATAGTGCGTCACTGTAAATGAATGGTACTACTATTATGTTTGTCCTTCGATTATTATTACAGGATTTTTGAAGAAAAATAGTAAAACTAAGTTTCAGTCCTTCTAGGAATAGACATGAAACCCTATACAGATTAAATCAAGTCAGTATCCTTAATAAAGCAGAGATGTCTGTAAGGACATGGGGCGAATAACCTGTAGGTATGAATTGATATTCATATTTAATCAGCTTTGAAATTTCTCAAAATAGACAGGGGAGTGCCAGAGACACAGCCCTTGCTTCTCCAGGAGACTGAGTCACTATGACTCTCCCGCTCTGTTCTGGGAGGTATGTAGGATTGTTACCCTAATTGTATAGTCCCTTTTATATGTCTTATGAGTATATGGATCTCTTCATTTCTATTCCTTGATAAGCAATGCTCTGTCTTCTGATTTGGTATGGAAGAATCAATCTGGTGTCAAAATTGTTTAAATCTATGAAACATAAAAGAGACTATAGGAAATGTCATACTCCTTCATTTTCTCATAAGCAGAATGATGCTGTGAACAAGGAACAATGGATTATCTACCTAGGTCAACACACGGGTATTTCCCAACGGATCCCACATTTTTGTGTCCAGGAATAGAGTTGAGCAGATACACACAATCACAGCAAAAACAAGGACAGTTTGTTAAGAGGGAGTAGACCAGAACAAAAAAAGTGCAGACCCCCCAGAGGTCTACTGTACAAAGAGTTGGGGTTTGTATCTCACAAATAGCTCTAGGATCATCTGTTTAGCGTGGGCTTTCTCACTGTGCTGTTCCAAACAGGTTTACAGCTTCCTTCATTGCATGTCTCATTACTATTCCAAATCTCCACCAAACGGTGTGTTTTTCAGGTCAACTTAAGATTTTATAAAGTGACCTTCTTCAAGTGTGACAGATGTGGTGAGGGACTGAAAGACTTTTTCCTAACTTCCTCCATACCACCTTGGGGGGTTTATTGTTGTTTTCATATGCTAATTTTTCAACTTTGAGGCAAGGCCTTCCCAACTTCTCTCACCATGCTATCTCTGGTCCCAGCACAATCACAATTGATGGAAAACCTCAATAATGACTGATGAATTTAGTGGAAATTCACCAAATATGACAGATTGCTTCTGGTAACAAAAGCAAGAACGGAAATGCCATGTAATCAAAGGATGGCATCATTTTTTTTTTTTCCAAAGAAGAAAGGAATATCCACATGATCTCAGTGTGACCTTAGAAAACAGAGTGGTAAAGCCTCTCTGAAGAAAGAGGGAGCGTATCAGTCTGTGGAGTCACTCCCTACATTTAGAGGACTGTCCTCGCTATCACTCTCATTTTTTAAATCTTCTCTCTTCTGCTGTAATAAAGACTATGATTACAAGAAACTTCAAATTATTTCAGGTTACAACTCTTGGGTCACACTCCATCAGTAGAGAAGTTAGGTCAAGAACTCAAGTCAGGAACACGAAGACAGGAAGAGAACACGTGAGTATCGCTTACTGGCTTGCTTCCCATGGTTCACTCGGCCTGCTTCCACACACAACCCAAGACTGCGGCTCAATGTTGGCACCGCCCACAGAGAGCAGTAACCTACCACATCAATCATCAGTCAAGAAAATGGCCTCCAGGCCAGTGTGCAATGTGCGAGAGGCGTTTCCTCGACTGAGTCTCCTCTTGCCAGATAACTACAGTTTACATCAGTTGACAAAAACCAACCAGGACACTAGCCGACCTGCACCTCCCTTCCCCGTGAAGCTCCCATCATCTTCCAACTCCACCATCTCCCTGGTCTAAGTCATTTCCTAGAACAGAATCATCACCCATCAAGCATCCTTCAGGAACCAGATATCAGACAGTCAGATTATGATGGTTCCCAGTAAATGCGTTCTTTTCTGGCTGTTCTTCTTTCGCCTTGTCTTTTCATTTTATTTTTTTTTTAATTTGTTTTATTTATTAGCAGGGAAGTCATGGTATGCCTGTGGAGGACAGAGAACGACTTTTCACAGTCGGTTCTTTCCTTTGTACTGTGGGGTCCTGGGATCGAACTCTGGCCCTCAGGTGTGTGCAGGAGCTCCTAACCACTGGGCGTTCCCAGCAGCTCTCTGTTTTTCTCCCTTTGAGGAGTTCGGAGTCAGACTTTGTCTTCCAACTTGAATTCCCACTCGTGACAGAAAAGCCATGGTAAGTTCTTTTCTGCTTCATGGCTTGTATTCTTTTTTTATCTCCTCTTTTTTTTTATTAAGAAATTTTTCTTCATGTTACAAACTAATCACAGATCCCGGTCTTCCCTCCTCCCGCCCCGCCAGCCTTCCCCCTTATCTTCTCATTTTCATCTCATCTGCTGTCACGAGGTTCTATGCACAGATGGCACTAAAGTGAGAATCATCATTGTGTCAATAGTCGCCTCAACCTGTAATGTGAATAAATGTGAAATGTCTGAGGCATCATCGTTATCTTCTAGATTTCCCTGGGAGAATATTTCATCGAAAGGAGCTTCACTCATTGTTCCCTGGGCAGCGTCAGTGTTTGTCCATCCTCAGATGCCACGGGAATGGCTCAGCCGGATGGATGGATGATGGTATGGGAAGGACTCTCGGGAGCTGTGCCCAAAGCCTGCTCTCGCGCTGCCCATCACTGTGACGTCTCACCTGGCCATAGCCCCAGTCTACAGACGGTGTGCTGCTCCATCCACACCGTGCAAGGACTGTGCCAGTACTGAAGACACACTGAGCTGGTGTCTTATAGAAAACATTTGCATTGTTTTTCGTTTTTTCTTTTGTTTGTTGTCCTTGTGTTTAAATGTCTGGTTTTGATGCACTACACAAAGGAATGCACTACTTGATGATTTGGGTGGGTCAAAGATGAGTGTGAGACCCTGGTTCCTTAGACTTTATTCCCAGTAGTTTTCACTTCACAGTTCCTGGGAGACAACCACTTACACCTGCTTCAGAATAAGCAGAAGAACAGTTTAATGGGTGAAGAATACCAAGTCACCTTCTGCCATCAAGCTGTCTGCGACTCGGGTCAACAGGAAGCACAAACTACATTGCATTCCCTGTAAGCGCATTACTTTCCTTTTCGGTGAGGACTGCCGAGGTGTCGAGTTTACTGTGGATCCAGTTCCGCCCTGGAATTCCCAATTCTCCTGCCTCTGCCTCGAAGTACTGAGGTTATAGGCAGCCAAAATGATGCCTGGCCATATTTCCTTGCTTAAATATAAAATGAAGTATTGAATATATAGCAAAGTTGTTATGAATCATATACATTATATGATATTATAATATATATGTATATGTGTGTATATATATATACATATATATACACACACACATATAAATGTTCTCATGTTCCAAGATCCTCTTACTTGAGAACTTTGCCAAAGTTTATCTCTCCTGCGTCAAGGTGGCCAAGCTGCACAGCCAAAGACTTGAACATTTTAATAACTAATTCCCTCCAAATAATCAATTTAAAAGGAGCCATTTATTAAATCTTCATTTTAAAAAAATTTAACATTTTCTTTCCTACTTCATGCCCTCCCCATATCTCTCGAAGTCAGCCGGTGCAAACATTCCCAGCTATCTCTGAAGATAACTGTTCATTGTATTTCTCATTTTCCTACCAAAAAAAAGACTTTGAACACTGGAAACCCCAAAATAAACCCAACCTACAGTTAACAAAAGACCAATGAAATGATTATTCTGGTCCAATAGAATTTTCATATCAGAAAGAAGTAATGGGTATCTGTAACTGTAATGATTGTGGGGAATTAATGGAAAAGCCTGCTTTTTTTAAACACAAAGCAAGACCCATGCCTCCTTCCAGATTTCTTCATCCACCCATAGTGGATGAGGGGTGCCTGGACTCGCTGCAGCTTAATGTAACATGGTTGGCTGATAGCCATAGAATGACCACCTGTATCTAACTAGACAGCGAAGGAGGCGTGGATAAGAGGTGGGATGGGGTGGTGTGGGGTCCGAAAACCCTAGAATGTGTGATTGACTGGAAAGCCCACAATTAAATACACAAGCAGAAATTTTTTAAGCAATAAGTTGCCTCTTGACTCTGTGGAAGACTCCAGGACTTTGATAAAGACTGTATTAGTTTGCTTTGTATCGTTCGATAAAACAACGACCAAACCCAGTTTGAGGAGGAAGGGGTTTATTTGACTCACATTTCCCCATCACAGTCCGCCCTTGAGAGAAATCAGGAACAGAATTCAAGACAAGAATGTGGAGACAGAAGCAGAAGCAGAGACCATGGAGGAAAGCTGCTTACTGGCTTGCTCAGCCTAAGCCCATGACCATGAGCCCAGGGTGGCACCACCAACAGTGAGCTATGCTGTCCCGCATCAATCATTAGTGGGGAAAATGTCATAGACATGCCTACAGGCTTTTCTGATGAACATAAATATTCCTTGGGATGAGCTTTCTTCTCCCTGAGTGACCCTTTGTTTGGGTCAAGTGGATCAAACAATATGCAGCACAATGGCTTGGGTGGGACTTTTTAACACTGGAGAAATCAAACATGAAGCTCTCAAAACTGCAGCAATCCAGAGAACAATCAGTGTTCCTCCTCGGGATTTTCATACCTCCCCTGAATTTTTTTAAATTTGTAATTGTGTATACTTAGGTGTCTGTGTGTGGGTACGTGCAATAGAGTGCAGGTGCCACAGGCTAGCAGATGCATAGGATCCCTCAGGAGGGGGAACTGCAGGCGATTTTTCACCTGACATGGCAGCAAACAAGAGTTCTTTGCAAGAGCAGCATGTGCTCCTAACAAGCCATCTCTATCTTTTTCTTTCTTTCACTTTTGAGACAAGGAAACTAGCCCAGACGAAGTCTAGAATTCACTTTATAGCCCAGTCTGGTCTCCAACTTCCAATTGCCCTGCCTCACAGGAATGACTGTACGCCTCCATGCTGACAGTCACTAGCCTGAGTTATAACCCATTTCAGAGCTCTAAGACTGTACATGAGTGCAACCACAGTGAGCTGGGAACCTATCAGAAAGCACTGCCCTTAATTCTGGATGGTTGCACCCTGGCAGCTCAGCAAGTTATCACACAAGACAAGGAAGGCCTCCAAGTCCTCCCAGCTTAAGCATCTCTCCAGAGCCACTGCGTATTTCAATTAGTGTGGCCTGGATAAGCCATGCTCAAAAAGGCAGCAGAGCTGGCAGATAGAGCTCGGACAGGTGCATCAACTTAGGAGTACAAAAGATTCATAAGGGCAGAGATCTAACAACTTTGCTCCAAAGCCTCCACGAAACGTAAAGGCCCAGTAAGAATCAAGAAATTGAAGCACACAGGTGTGGCTACCCTGAGTAAAAGTAAACCCGATAGAGACTAAGCACGGCAACTCCAAATGCCAAGTAACATGCAGAGGACAGGAGACTTGGATGTCTGAAATCCAACTCTTTACAGACCTAATAACGTGCCGAAGATGACCACAGGTCAGTAGCAGCTAATGGAGGGCTGAGTGGAGACTGGGGGTGTCGACAGTATACACTCTTTTACGGAAATGTGGGTGGCTCTGAAAAGAGCCTTTGGGTTCAGCCTTGCACTCACGAGCCTTCTTACGCCCTCTCCCCGCGGATGCGGCGGGCCAGCTGGATGTCCTTGGGCATGATGGTGACCCGCTTGGCGTGGATGGCGCACAGGTTGGTGTCCTCGAACAGACCCACCAGGTAGGCCTCGCAGGCCTCCTGCAGCGCCATCACGGCCGAGCTCTGGAAGCGCAGGTCGGTCTTGAAGTCCTGCGCGATCTCGCGCACCAGGCGCTGGAACGGCAGCTTGCGGATCAGCAGCTCGGTCGACTTCTGGTAGCGCCGGATCTCGCGCAGCGCCACGGTGCCGGGCCGGTAGCGGTGCGGTTTCTTCACGCCGCCGGTGGCCGGGGCGCTCTTGCGGGCGGCCTTGGTGGCCAGCTGCTTGCGCGGGGCCTTGCCGCCGGTGGACTTGCGGGCGGTCTGCTTGGTGCGAGCCATACTGAAAAGAGAGCGACAGAAATCTCAGGCAGAAAGAAGCCTGACGCACCGGGGCCCGAGTACATATATATAAAGCGAGCGAGCCCCGTTCTCATTGGACCACACAGGAACATGAGACTGGGACCGTATTGGTTGGTAGCTCTGATCATATCGCTCTCCCGGACCCGCCCCATTCATTTAAATATTTTCCCTTGTTCTGGCTTTCCACTTTTAGGTCCTTACAGCTTTCACATAATGTACTATCCAGTTTCCTACAAAATCATTATTACTTATTAGAAGGACACGGGCTGTATGCTTGATAACGTTTTTTAAATTGGGGGCCAGAAACTTAATTTTTTGAAAGGCATCGGCGATAGGCAATTGGTCAAGTGATGTGATTTTTTTTTCCTATGAAAAGGTAGAGGCAAAAGGTACATATGAAAATATCTTACTTAAATGTTCAGGGGAACTTTGTCATGAATGAGGAGGCTTTCTTATCATTCTAATATGAGCACTAACAATGAGGCCCTACTTTCAAGCCTGATTTTAACTCGGATAAAGGACCACTTTTCCCAGAAACAAAAGTAGAAGGAATCCAAAAAAACAAAAAAAAAAAACAAAAAAACAAAACAGCTGGGGGAAAATGCACACTCCAAAGGGGAGATTGCTGTTTAACTTCTAGTTGCAGTCCATGTTGCAATAACCAGTGTAATTGACAGGAGTCCTCATAACGACTGATAGGCACCTTGGGGGGAACCAGTATGAAAAGTGCCCAGGAAAGAGCTTCAAAAGTTTCAACTTTTTAGGCAGTAAGCTTTATCAGAATGTTAACATTTATGTGCAACTTGTTTGGATCTCATTGGATATATTATTTAAGTTAAGGTTCTTCCTTACTATAAGAGGGGCCTTGGACAGGGCAACTGGAACGCTATATTGTAATAACAGGTAAAGTCAGCAGAAAAGCTCTTTTAAAGAGAAAGTGGTGGCTCTGAAAAGAGCCTTTGTTGTTATATTAAAATTCAGTGTGGTGAAAAGCTGCTTATTTCCCCTTGGCCTTGTGGTGGCTCTCGGTCTTCTTGGGCAGCAGCACCGCCTGGATGTTGGGCAGGACGCCGCCCTGCGCGATGGTGACGCGGCCCAGCAGCTTGTTGAGCTCCTCGTCGTTGCGGATGGCCAGCTGCAGGTGGCGCGGGATGATGCGCGTCTTCTTGTTGTCGCGGGCCGCGTTGCC